CTGGAACAGCGTCCTCAACCACTGTTTCCCAATCAACGAAGGCTACCTCATCTGTCCTCAACTCCCCCCGGCTATTCAAGTCCACGCCAGTTACAGTACTAACAGAGACACCAACAATTTCATCGTCACATTATCCGTCATGAAAAATGACGAAACCATATTCTTCGTCAATGCCAAAGCTCCAAAATATCTTGGAAACACATACGCAAGATTTGCAGCCGATGAACAAATACGAAAACGATTCTACCAAGGGTTCGAGAGTTCGCCCTACAAGATGCACGGTATCAGTGCCTTTGGCACCAACGTCTCTTTCTACGAACTGGAAAAGGAAAATGCTGATGGTCACTGTGGCATTATCAGGCCCCGGCCAGCTGCAAAGTATTCGGAGCAAATTCTTGTGGATGTGATACCTAAAAATCGGTGGGATCTCAATATACTCGATGAGCAAGGGTATGAGAACTTTATGGAAGTTGTAGAGGAGGCCAAGGCTTTGGAACTTCATGAACGTATGTGCCTACCTATTCATGTTTTTTCAACTCGGTGTGCTGACTTTATTGCAGCTGCCAGCAGCTGCAGTTCAACAATCGTAACCGGGTTCAATTCGAATTCGAAGTGTATCATGGTCATTTTACCAATTATCATTTCCGTTGTAAATCTGTTGGAATCGCAAAGCTACCGATGTCCGTATGACTCAATATGCCTACTAGTAGCTGTTCGATTGCTGTTCGAACACCATGCTCTTGCGCCTCACCCGGGCCGTCCCAATCATCATCTGCTCATAAAAATAGATTGTCAATTTCCGATGATTGAAATGAAGAGAGAAATAATCTGATAGGATATGATATCAGCAAGCTCTGAAACAGGACCATATCTCCATTTCTACGACAAAAACCCCGATGACACACTTTTTTTGCAAAGAATCACCACATAGTTAGGAGTCAATAGGTCGCGGTCCGTAATGCATGGGCGAGCAAAAAATGGACTATCATCACCAATTAATTACACATACAGCATTGTATAATACGACAATAAAAACGTAGTCGGGATCAGAGCGCGGAGAAGGGACAGCGTGTGTAGTTTATACATTTTCTTGGGGGATGCGGACAACAGAAGATGAGGTATGGAGGAGAGTGTGGTACATGGTCATGATCATGATCACGGGAGGGGAAAATCGGCAAGAGTAGCGGTCAATAAACCTTTTAGATGTGTGTAGGGTTAGAGGTTTCAGAAGAATTAAGGATTAGGGAGGACATTGCAAGGGGATATAATATGGCGGGATTGTTGGGAATGAGAATGCGAATCTTGATGCGACGGGCATAGTAGCCAGGATATCAGAGTGAATACAACGATCAATGATGGAGATGCGACGAGAGCAGTGGGATCTAGCACAAGAAAGCAAAAGCAGATCAAACGAGGGCTGCAGACTGGAGGTAACCTCGGAAGATTGAGTCGCGAACTAAACAAGACGGTCAGCAAAACAATCCAAGGCGCTGCAATGGAGCCTACCGTTTCCAATGATACGCTGCGTCGCCTTTGTGTCCTTGACGTCAAATATGAGCAAGTTTTCAAGATTTCGCCGAAAGATAACTCACCACTACACTCGTAAAATGAGTATACAGCACCCGACGATTCTCATTGTTTCGTCTATGAACCTGCGAGGAAATGAGCACGGAAGTATGAACGACGTCTCGTAATCGTGACC